GCATTCTACTAAGTGAAGTATCCCAAGAATGGAAAAACAAGCACCACATGTACTCACCATCAAATTGGTATTAACTGACCAACACATAAATGCACGTATAAGAATAACATTTATTGGATGTCAGACAGGGGAGAGGAGGAAGGAGGGGACGGGTATATGCATACATAACAAGTATGATGCGCACCATCCAGGGGATGGACACGCTTGAAGCTCAGACTTGGTGGGCGAAGGGGGACAAGGGCAACATATATAATCTAAACATCTGTACGCCCATAATATGGTGAAATAAAAGAGTTAATTTAAATAGCAAAAATGAGTAATTTAGAGACAAAGTTTCTATAACTTGTTGGTGTGAAATCTAATTAAGTCGTATATGCCATTTACCCTCACATTGCAAAAGAAAGTCTTCTGCCAATGATAGTTAGGGGGAATATAACATATTTCAAAATCCATGGCTTCTTAGTCTAAGGCAGATGAGACAGTGGAAAATGCTTCCAGGGAGATGCTGGAAATGGAGGGAATTATCTAACTCGGATAATTTGTACCCAGAGTCTCTGTGTCCCAAGCACCTTCTAATTTGTAACACTAAAATCTTTTCCCAAGTGACTTGATGCACAGGCTCTCTCCCAGTCTTCTCCACAGAATTCGGTTCATTTTAGTCCATGTAGAGACTTGCAGATTTTAGTTTCTCAGAAGCCATCTTGTTTTGAATTAGAAATTTAATATCAGAAGTGTGTTCTATGGTCCTATATCATGTCATGCAAATGGGCTTCCAAACACAATTTAGAGTTCTATACTGAAGACTAAACCTCAGGAGTCAGTGTCTGTGGTATATCTCAGGTTTCGAACAATTTCTTACAGATGACATAGCTTTGAGTCTGATGATCAGAGAATATTTCTCCCTGATGCTCATGATTTATCCTTTCCTTATGCCTGGAACATTTATTATTTCACAGATAGTTAACCACCTTCTCCTTGACTGGTTCATCAGCTCTTGTACTTAGTTATCTATCTGTGTTCATTGGTGAAAAATACTTTGTCATTTTGTTAAGACTGGTATCAGTACCTTTATTTTTTACTGATTGATTCATTTATTTATTCATTAATGAAACAATTATTGACCTTCAGTAATGTTTTAATATTTTCTAGACTTTCAATTTATGCATGGGTACTACCATATACTCCTTAAACAATAAAATGTCCTTTTAAAGAAGAACGTTATTTTACCTCAGGTCCACAGTGTTGAACTGATCATAATTTCTTATCCATATTATATTCTCATCATTTTTCCAGACCCATTATGTATGTGTTTATTTATTCATTAATAAAATTACACTTATGGAAACATGATGGAATAAAAGAACTAAATTTACAATGTGCTCATATGCTTATGTGCTCATCTTAAGGCCAACTTTGGCCTTCCTCATCTGAGGTTACTTACATCTTACATTTTCTCTTTTTTATTTCATAAATAGTTTTGTCATTTATGTACTTTGTCTTGAAAAGTATATTCTTAGTGTTCTATTGCTTTTTGCCGTATAAAAATTGTGTCGAATGGATCCATTTTAAACTCTTTTCTTCTTCATTATTACATTTTACTAAGATAATTTATATGCTTTTATGTAGTGTTTGTTGTGGTTCAGAATGAATATCTCATTGTTTTGCCAATGGGAGTTATTATAAATTTCTCCTTGTACACATAGGCAATAGTTTATCTTGGGATTTAAATGGTAATGAAATAACTGGCCCATAGAATATGTGAATATTAAACTTTCCAAGATAAGATCAATTTTTTTTCAAAAGCGATTATACTAGTATTCACTTCAGTCAGTAATGTTTAAAAAATCCTCTTGATTCACATGTTTTTATTCAGAAAATCTGATGACACATCTCTTTTTTTTTTTCAGGTGAATTTACAACGAACTGGACTAAATGGAAGAAGTAAACCAGTCTGTGGTGTCTGAATTCATTATTCTTGGGCTTTGTGATCCATGGGAGCTCCAGGCCTTCTTCCTAGTGATATTTTCTTCACTTTATTTGATCACCATTTTAGGCAACATCTTCACTGCGATCATAATCATTACTGACCTCCATCTCCACTCCCCTATGTACTTCCTGTTAGCCAATCTCTCGTTCATCGACTTCTGCCTTTCCTCAGTCACTACCCCTAAAATGATCACAGACTTTCTGAAGGAAAATAAGACCATCTCCTTTGGAGGGTGCATGTGTCAAATATTCTTTGGACACTTCTTTGGAGGGGGTGAGATGGTGCTGCTTGTGTCAATGGCCTATGACCGTTATGTGGCCATCTGCAAGCCTCTCCATTACTCCAGCATCATGAACAGACATATGTGCGTTGGGTTAGTGATGACATCGTGGATCATCGGGTTTGTGCATTCAATAAGCCAACTAGTTGTGATTATAAAGCTGCCCTTCTGTGGAGAGAAGCTACCCAGAGAACTGGATAGCTTTTTCTGTGATATTCCATTGGTGATCAAGCTCGCCTGCATGGACACCTATATTCTAGAAATGTTGATAAATGCTGACAGTGGTTCACTGGCAACCATCTGCTTCATTCTGTTGCTGATCTCTTACTCTCATATTTTGTTTACTGTCTGCCTTCACTCTAATGACGGAGCATCCAAGGCTCTCTCTACCTGCACTGCCCATATCACAGTAGTGGTGTTATTCTTTGGACCCTGCATCTTCATCTATTTGTGGCCAGTCAGCATCACCTGGGTGGACAAGTTTCTTGCTGTATTTTATGCAGTCATCACACCTCTCCTGAATCCAGCCATTTACACCCTAAGAAACAAAGAGATTAAAAATGCCATGAAGAGACTACTATGTTAGCATATGGATTTCAGTGGGTATTTCAGGGTCTCTCACATTATCAGAATCTTCACTATAAGGTCCCTAAATTAGCCACAACTGTCCTGTTACTCTAGTCCGAGAAGCATTCCCCAATTCACAGATGGAAGTCATACATCTCCAGATGAAACATCCTGGTCAATTCTATTTGATTCCACAATCATTTATTGAACAGTCAATGCAAAATGATTTCCTCTGGGAAACGTGGTTAGTGTTTATGATAATGATTTCAGTTGTACTCAAGGATGACTAGAAATTAATAACATATTAATGATTCTTTGTACTATTGGTGCTGCTACTTCAACAGCTACCTCCACATCTTGAGATTTGTTATTAGGCTAAGCATTTCTTTGAACAAAGCATGTCACATTGGTCTTCTCTAAATTTTTTTCAATAAACCAGTGATTTGAGTATTGCTATTAGTATCTTTATTTTTACAAATGGATAAATTGGTCTTTCAATTAATAAGCATTCTACCTAACTTATCTGAAGAGACAACTATTAAGGTACATTAAGCATTCCCATCACACTCAGAATAAAACTGAGTCAATCACAATCTGGAAAGAACATTGTTTCTTCAACTTTATGTCTTGGCCATTTGTGAAACAGGGTAATTGTCCTTAGAAGACAAACATTAAAAACAAAGATGAAGATGAAGAGAATTGTATTTATGGATTCTTATCTAGAAATAATCTGAATTATTATTATTTTCTTTTGTTTTTAGCTGTAGGCCAAACATGTTATTTACTAAATAAATAGGTTAAAAAAAATCCAAAAAAAAAAAAAAAAAACAACAAAGATGGATGCACTAACAACCCAGGGGATTTTGCTTCTTCTCTTTCTTTTAATAAATGTGTTAGGGGGTTCATTGTCTATACCAGATAAAATCAGAGGAAAAGTGTATGTTCTTTAAAATGACTAAGGAATCCAAAGACCTTCTGTTTATGTATGTCTATTAATATTCATAATTTTGAAATTAAAACCGAAAACTTTTAACACTTATAAATTAGCTCATTTTAAAATAACACCAATAAGGCATTACATGCTAGCATAAATAATATATTTTGTGAAAAGTAATAATATTTTCCAAAGTACAATAAAGAATGCAGTAAGGAGAGTGAAATTGTTTTACATACTTGCACATTTCTTAGCACACGACTCAGTAGAAGCAATTGAGTTCTTTTATCCACCTCTGCGTTGAATCTGTTATTCTGCGTGCTTTTATTGGAAATGTATAAAGGCCATCTGGCTTGTCAGAGATATGTAGTTACATAAGGGAAGAGCGTTTTGACTTTGGTGCAAAAGCAATGGTGAACTTCAGCACAAGACAAGGCTGTAGCGTCAAACTGCAGTAGATATCATGGTATTCCTCACCAACACATACAGTAAAAACAAACCAAAAAAAGGTAAAACGTTTAATAATCTTTTTAGATTATTTCTACTAATATTATAATGTCAGACAGTATTATTGTTTGCTGTCGCTATTTGGTTGTGGTTTCAAGCAGTCAGTATTCTATATTTCTCCGTTTTGATGATTTTCATTTTCTGCTTTCTGCCCTCCGGAAAAAAGATTTTCCAGCCTGATGAACTCTCCCTAGACTTTTTCTGGTAACAATTCTCTCAATTATTGTTTATCTGGAAGTATTTTCATTTTGCCTTCATATTTGAAAGATATTTTCACTGAGTATAGAATTCTAGGATCTCAGATTTGCTCAGCTCTTTAAAATGTTATTCTAATGTTTCTGGCTTTCACATTTTCTACTGAATAGTCATCAGTCTTATTGTTGTTCCTTTGAACATATTTCTTTTTGGGGGGCCACATTAGATATGTTCTTTTTGTCTTTGGTTTTCAGCCAAATGACTAGAGTATGCCTATGATGTTGGGTTTTTTGTTTGTTTGTTTTTTGTATTTATCCCTCTGGTTGTTCACTGCATTTCTTGAATATATTGGTGTGTCTTTCATCAGTTCTTCATATTTTGCTTCCCCTTCTTTCATTCTAGCATTCATTTACACATGTGTTAGAGTATTTCACATTGTTCCAACTGACACTCTCGTTCTGTTCTGAATTTTTTATTTTTTTATATTTCTGTACTTCAGTTTGGGTAATTTCTATTGACCTGTCTTTGAGTGCGCTGATCTTTTCTTCTGCTGTGTTTAGTCTGCTTTCAAGGCTATTCTAATAGGCTTTAAAAACCTATCATTTCATGTATTTTTCAGTTCTAAAATATCACTTGATTCTTTCTTAGATATTCCACTTTTCTGTTGAAATTGATCATCTTTTTATACATCTTCAACCTCTTAATGTCTTTTCAAAATATATAAAAGTTATTTTATAACTTTTTATTTCTCTAATTTCAACAATTGAGGCATCCATGGTCTGCTTCTATTTACTATTTTCCTCTTACTTGCGAGTCACATACCTCTACTTCTTTACATTGCTCAGTTATTTTATGCGTTTTATACATTGCATATAAAATAATCATAGCATTCTGACTTGATATACTCCTCCAGACACCATTTATTTCTTCCTCTGTGAGGCATAGAGGGTTCAAGTGTGATCACCCCAATCTGATTGGTACTGAGCTGATTTAAATCTGGATTACATTTTTATAAGACTCAATACACTTCTGGTTTGTGAATGCGCCCTAGATATGTCTCTTCCAGGTTTTGATTATGACTCTGATGACTTTCTTTCTCATCAACATGAAACATTTTACAGGATTCAGTGTTGCTCTTCAGAATTATTGGAGCTCAGAACTTTAGCCACCTTCTCCCCTTCCTGGTAGCTTCAAAAATATGGCAAATTCCGGACGGGCATGGTGGCTAACACCTGTAATCCCAGCACTCTGGGAGGCTGAGGCGGGTGGATCGTTTGAGCTCAGGAGTTCGAGACCAGCCGGAGCAAGAGCGAGACCCTGTCTCTACTAAAAATAGAAAGAAATTAGCTGGGCAATTAAAATATATAGAGAGAAAAAAAATTAGC